GAGAGAGAGGAGAAGGGATAGTGACTAAGGAAAGACCTAGAGTGAAAGACTGAAAACTTATGGTATTGTGGAATATTTTTTTCCAAAAGCTAAAGATGGCAAACACATCCACAGCTACCAAACTGTAAAGAAAACACTGCCAATGATAGCTTCTCTAGCAGAACAGAAGTTAACAACAGACATGCCGAGCAGTGAAAAACCAGGATCTGCACCAACCCTACAAAGCCTACAAGCTTCATTAAACATCATTCAGGAATTTATGATAAAAACACAAGAATCAATAAACAAAAAGCACGAGGAAATGAAAGGTGATCTAGGGGAAGTGAAAGATGATATAAAGAAGTTGGATGACAGAAGGAGGAAGATGCAGGAAACAATAGCCAAAAATGAGCATAAAATAAAACTGGTAGAAGCAAGGACAAAACAAACTGAAAAGAAATTGGAAGCAACAGAAGAAACACTGACAGTAGCCAACAAAGAACTTGGGGAGGCAATAGTCCATTTAGAGTTAGAAAGATCCTCTTTCTATTTAAGATTTCAGAACATAGTAGAGACAAAAGATGAGGACCTACCAAAACCCATGAGGGATCTTCTAGTTGACCAATTGCAAATGGACAAAATGAACTGAGGAATAATATTGATAAAATCTACAGAGTGCACACAAAGGGCCCGAATGGAATTCTAGCAGAATTTTATAAAGAATTGCAAAAACCATTAGAGAACATATTATTAGAAATGTATAATAAAGGACTAGAACAAGCTAATACACCAAAATCCTGGATGGAGGCACTAATAACATTAATTCCCAAAGACAACACTGAAAAACAAAAGATCCAAAATTTAGCAGTGAGGCTAACCTCACTACTAAATGCTGATTATAAAATATTTATGACAATAATGGCAGAAAGAATTAAAAATATATTAAACAGAATCATACACTAGATCAAAATGAATTTCTACCCAACAGACACATAAAAAACAACATACAAACAATAATGGCCATATTAGAATACTACGAGATACACTCAGAAAAACAAGCAGCATTAATATTTATTGATGCACAAAAAGCATTTGATAACCTGAATTGGGATTTTCTTATAAATCAGCTAGCAGTAATGAACTTTGGAGAGAAATTTATTGGGATGATCAGAGCAATATATTCTAGTCAGAGGGCAAAAATAATACTAAATGGGGAAGCAACAGAAAGTTTCAGCATAATCAAAGGGATAATACAGGGATGCCCTCTACCTCCCCTGTTATTTGACCTCTCAATAGAGACATTGATGTTACAAATTAGACAAAACAAGGACATAAAGGGATTGGAAATTAGAACACAGGAATACAAAGTGCAGGCCTTTGCGGACAATCTAGCATTTATCATAGAGGAACCCCTAGAAACTGGACTAATATTATTACAAGACATAAACCAATTTGGTAAAGTGGCAGGGTTTAAAATAAATAAAGATAAAACTAAAATATTAACTAAGAATTTAACCAAAAGACAAAATGAAGAACTGGAGGAGAAATTGGGAATTTTGAGGGCCAAGAAAATTAAATATTTGGNCATCTTTGCATGCACATGCGCTTTTGGCACACAGCAACAAAAAGGTTAGCCATCACTGCTATAGCATATTATACTCTATTATTCTTATCTATCATTCTGTTATCTATTAATCTGCCATCAATATATTAGGCTTATTAATACAGGATCATTATTAGCTTCAATTTTTTTCTTAAACTTAAGTCTGTCTTAAGTCCCCTCTGTCTGCAATTTTTTTTCTTTGTCTGTTAATGGCCAGCTTGTAGAACCTTTGCACCTTTTCTGATGTGCTTTGTCTTACTAGACTAATACACTTATTTTCCTCTCTTTTTTTTGACCCTACACTCCTTCTGAAGGAAAAATGTTTTCTTTTGTTTGGCTGCTGTACCCTGTTGATGGCTGCAGAACACAAAGTACATGTTTCCCCCATTCTCCCCCACCTGCCCATCTCTTTCTAAACCTTGGCAACTCTGCCATGCGATGCTGGAAAGAAGGCTCGAAGCAGGGGGCGGGGAGGGCAAAGAAAGCAGCACAGGTGCCTGCAATGTTGTTAAGCAGCCTGCTCTTCTGTTCTCCTGGGAAATAATGCCTCTTTTAAAACACTTACATGGCTTTCTTTTAATTAAACAAATATTTCTGGTTAATTGGAGGACAGTATTCTGGTCCATTAGTATTAATATTTTTCAGTAATTAATTTAATAGAAACATCATCACTCAATCTAACCTAACTTTCCCCATTCGGGCAGTTTTCTGTCTTCTGATGATTTCTTGGATATTATGGAGCAGCAATGCTTCTAGAATTGGCCTGTTAAAAATGAACTTTAATACCAAAGACAGCAAACCACTGTAATCTCTTCAAAACAGATGCCTACTTTTTAAAATTTGTAGATGGAGTTTAATGTCTTGTACCCACTTAACTCTCGTGAGCAGAAAGCTCAATGTATGTGTTGTTCATGGTATTGATTCACAATGGCATCCCCTCAGGATATTTTTATCATCAACCACCATTCCTGTCCTTGAATCTCTCTGCTTATTCTTAACACCCTTAGATGGTAAAGAGGGAACCTGCATAGAAAACAGTAGAAGGGGATTGCTCGAACTTAACAAAAGTCAAAATGGTCTCTTAATGGTTATTTGTTAGTCTATTTAAAAGGATGGGGTGGATGAGATTTCCTGAGTGTGGATGGAGACGCTTTGCATTGGGCTTCCCATATCACAGTGATGGTTTGTGCTGGGGACTCTTCCAACCTGAAAGAGAAATCTTTCCAAATCCAACTTCCTGCATCGTGTCAAGATGGGCGCTTTCATTTCAATGTCATCCCCACATTCATGGTATATTGTGGTTTTCTTACGATGTTGCCCAATGGTGGGATTCAAAAAATCTTTGCTACAGGTTCTGTGGGCATGGCTTGGTAGGCGTGGCATGTCTTGGTGGAGGTGGCAGGGGACGGATGTTGTAAAATCTCCATTCCCACCCCACTGCAGAGGAAGGTTACTGTAAAATTTCCATTTCCTTCCGATCAGCTGGGACTCGGGAGGCAGAAAATAGATGGGGAGTGGGGCCAGTCAGAGGTGGTATTTACTGGTTCTCCAAACAACTCAAAATTTCCACTACTGGTTCTCCAGAACTGGCCAGAACCTGCTGAATACCACCTCTGATGTTGCCCTGGAATGGAAAATGTGGATTTGCGAGATTTTTAATAAAAAATGGGATTTTTTATTGAGAGTTTGTAAAAAGTAAAG